TATAGAGATATTTTCCCTAATAATTGTATGTATATATATATATATATATATTTTTCCAGCATGACCTCTCTTAATTTTCTTGAAAGAGAAAGGCAACCTTATCCATTCAATGACCATAAAATATCTTCCCATAACCATTCTGCTATAAATTGTATCTATCACCCTGTAAAAGAAAAACTCAAACTTACTACTTCACTACTAAACCTAGCCAAGAATCATCAAAATGCAGTCTGCTTTGTTCATTTCCCCGCCTACTCTCCCCTTAACACCTTCAAAAAACTTCTCCCAACAGACAATCTCCCCTCCAAGGCTATCTGGATCTGTTGCTTCTCGTCGCTTTTCAACAAAGGCTACCACACCCTGTGAAACCTCAACAGTCGATTACAGCTCTGCGATCTCGTGAGTAAACTTTCTTTTTTCTCTTATGTTTCTCTTATTCATAGTCCGAGAACAACTAAAGAACAATCTTGTCAAAGTTGCAGTCCAGATCTTATCTTCAGCTTCGATTAATATAAAGCCTCAGTTTTTACTAAATACAGTATTCTTCAGTGTGTTTCCAGCCGAGGCATGTGAAACAATTGGTGGAGATGCCTGTTTGGCAGACATATTCCCTGAAGTTAAGCTCAACCCAGAAGCCAGTTCAAAGAGAATTGCTTCAGAGCCCTTTGACAGAGACTATCTTGAGTACAACGATCCAAAAACGTATTAACTAATCTCAATTATTCTCATATGTGCATGAATGATGTGCAAGGTTCTATAGATTTACAGATGGTTTCACAGACTAATTATAAAATATGTATACTACAGGGTTTTCCGAGGAGAAGCATGCGATGATCTTGGAGGAGAATTCTGCAGCCCTGACTATGAGAGAGGAGCCTAGTTGGAGGAACCAATTCATGTTAGAAGTTACTGAACTTGTTAATGTATAAGCAATAGAAGTGTGGTGGATGTATATATTCATACCCCATGGCCTGTATTTATATAACTATCAGAGTTCTCTTAATTACAATAGTAAACTTCTGGGAATTTTGTGGGGATACTAAATCAAAACCCTCTTTGCCAACATGTGGCTCCAAAAGTATCAAAATGTTCTAAGAATTTTCGTTAAGTTTTCCGAACGAGAAAGATCAAAGTAGAGATTATAAGCCCGAAAGAGAACATATGAATTACGAATTGTTTCTTCTCTGGGTATAATAAGATTGTTTTTCCAGAAAAAGGGTTCGCATGAATTTGAAATATGTGTCTCCAAATGCTAACTATAAGAATTGAATCTGATGAATAGTCAGAAGTAAGAGTATTAACCCATTACTGGATTAACCATTATTGATGATATATTCTAGACCCATCAAATAAAAAAGTAAAGTGTAAATAAATTGTTCACAAATTTCATTGGTAACTACATAACATAATAAAACTTCAAAGAAAAATGACAGTTTAATTTCAAATCAATTACGTACCCATTACGTTCATAAAATTGAAAATAAAATATAAATTGATTAAATTATATATTAAAGTTTGTTATGTGTCTTCTCGCCAAGAGATTGTATTATATAGCATGTATGTGCGACTTGATCAATGAAATGTTCAAATTTCTTGTAGAAAATAGAAAACAGCAATGCTTGTCATAAGCTAATGTGTTAAATCCCAGTATTTACTTTGATCTGAACCAGTTAAAAACAGAGCTGAGACCAACTCAGAAACCTCCTGATGCACCCAATTCATAAATTTCTCACCTTTCATATTTTACGCGCGCGTTCCTACTTCTATGCAGACCATGTTACAGAGCCAATGCACTCAAAAACCTTACTTCTCTCAAAAACCTTCACCCAAATGTTCAGACCACAGTCGACGCCCGAATCATCAAAACGGGTTTCGATCCCAGCACCTGCCGCTCCAATTTCATGGTCGAGAACTTCCTCAGAGAAGGTAAACTCTCTCAGGCACGCCAACTGTTTGATCAAATGCCTCACAAGAACACAATCTCCAGAAACATGATGCTCTCGGGCTACGTGAAATCAGGGAATCTCGTTGCTGCCAGGGAGTTGTTTGATACCATGTCTGATCGAACTGCGGTTACATGGACGATTTTGATTGGTGCCTATGCGCAGACTAATCAGATTTCTGATGGGTTTAAGGTTTTTGGTGAAATGTATAGGTGGGGAACAGTGCCGGATGATGTGACTTTTGCAACTCTTTTATCTGGGTGCAATGATCCCGATGTGGTCAATGAGTTAGTTCAAGTTCATGCTCATGTTGTTAAGTTAGGATATGATTCATCTCTCATTGTCTGCAATTCTTTGGTTGATTCTTATTGCAAGATTTATGATCTTGACTCGGGTAGTTTGCTCTTTAAGGAAATGGCTGAGAGGGATTCTGTAACTTTTAATGCACTGATAACAGGGTACTCAAAACATGGGTTGAATGAAGAAGCTATCAGCGTTTTCTTGGAAATGCAGAGGTTGGGTTTCAAGCCTTCAGATTTTACATTTGCAGCAATTCTTTGCGCTGTGGTTGGGTTAGGTGACTTACCCCTGGGGCAGCAAGTTCATGGTTTTGTGGTGAAGATGAACTATGTTTGCAATGTGTTTGTGGGAAATGCATTGCTCGATTTCTACTCAAAACATGATTGTGTTGTTGAAGCTAGGAAGCTTTTTGATGAGATGCCAGAGGTAGATGGTGTTTCTTATAATGTGATCATCACGGGTTATTCACGGATAGAGCAATATCAAGAGTCCCTTAAGTTCTTCCAAGAATTACAGTGTTCTGGATTTGATCGGAGCAACTACCCATTTGCAACGCTGTTGAGCATAACATCTAATTTGTCAAACCTGCAAATTGGTCGACAAATTCATTCCCATGTTGTTATGACAGCAGCTGATTCAGAACTCCTGGTTGGGAATGCTTTGGTTGACATGTATGCCAAATGTGACAGATTTAATGAAGCTGAAAAGATATTCATGAATCTGGCCCACAGAAGCACAGTTTCTTGGACAGCCCTGATTTCAGCTTATGTTCAGAAAGGACTTCACGAAGAAGGCCTAAAGCTGTTCAATGAGATGCAAAGAACTGGTGTAGCAGTAGACCAGGCTACCTGTGCCAGCATCTTGAGAGCGTCTGCAAGTTTGGCTTCAATGTCACTGGGAAGACAACTCCACTCATTTATAATCAGATCAGGCTTCATGTCAAATGTTTTCTCGGGAAGTGCACTTGTTGACATGTATGCAAAATGTGGTTCCATTAAAGATGCAGTTCAAATCTTTCAGGAGATGCCTGAAAGGAACTATGTTTCTTGGAATGCATTGATCTCAGCCTTCGCACAAAATGGAGATGGTGAAGCTACCTTCAATGCATTTGAAGAGATGATTCAGTCAGGTTTCCAGCCAGATTCAGTTAGCTTCCTCAGCCTTTTAACTGCTTGCAGCCACTGCGGGCTTGTCGAAAAAGGATTGCAACATTTCGAGTCCATGACTGAAATCTATGGACTTGTTCCAAAAAGAGAGCATTATGCATCCATGGTAGATATGCTGTGCCGAAATGCAAGATTTGTCGAGGCAGAGGAGCTAATAGCCAAAATGCCATTCAACCCTGATGAAATAATGCGGTCATCAGTCTAAGCTCTTGAAGAATTCATAAAACAAACAACTAGCAGAGAAAGCAGCAGAACAGTTTTCAGAATGACAAAGCTTAAGTGCGGCTGCTTATGTC